CGTTTGGGGAGCCCCCGGGGCCGTCATGGGGCCGTCTTGGAGGCCGTAAGGGCCATCTTGAGACGATTTTTGAGCCCTCTGGCCCGTCTTGGGCCGTCCGAAAGCCAGTAAGAAGCAAATGCCCAAAAACCTTCAAACACCTAAGGCAGATCACTGATGTTGGCTTCTTTGGGCCCTGTTGGAGAACCTCAGGGAGGCCTCACGGGCTGCCTTGGAGGCCTCTTGGGGGCCTCTTGGGCCGTCTTGGCCTGTCTTGGAGTTTTTTGTTGGGCGGACTTGGAGGTATATTGGACCCATTTGCGCCATCTTGGACCTTCTTGGACGAACTCGGAAGCCATCTTACCCTCTTGGAGACCATCTTGAGCCGTCTTGGAAGATTGTATCCAGACATTGAGGTCGTTTCCGGGCCTTCCTCGGGGCCGGCGCGCTGGACCGAAGCCCCACGGAGAGCTCTTTGGATCAATATCCCAAGCCAAAGAAAGGCCGTATGATCTGGCACGTCAGGCACCCCTGTGGCACGCCAACAGGGTGCGGCGGATCGAAGACGCCTACGGCGAATCACCGTCGCCCCCCGCCTTTTTGGAAGCGCCTATGTGGTCGAACGTTGAGGCCAGACCTGTGAAGCTATCGGACCATGTGTTCCCCGAATCGGTTTGGAAAGCCTTCGGGGACACGTGGTCATCTTGAAGGTCATCTTGGCGGTCGGGAGGCCGTTTTGGCCCTTTCGGGCGTTCTTGGAGGACGTCTTGGAGGGCTCTTGGGTCGTCTTTGAGGCCATCTTGGGCTTCTTGGAGGCCTCTTGGGCCATCTTGGGGGCCTCTTGGGGCCGTCTTGGGCCTCTTGGGGGATCTTTGGGGACACTTGGGCCGTCTCGGGTCGTCGGAGGGCAGAACACATGTAAATGCCACAATCCTTCAAAAATTCATTGGAAATCTATGATTTGGACCTTTTCGGGCCTTCCTGGAGGCCCTCTTAGAGGCCTCTTGGGCCGTCTTGGGCCATCGTAGTGCCATCTTCGGCCGTCTTGGTGGGCCCCTGGCCCGTCCGACGCCGTCGGAAGCCGTTTTGGGGGCCTCTCTGAGCCGATTTGGGGCCCTCTTGGAATGCTCCAGGGCAGTCTTGGAGGCCATCTTGGGCGTCTTAAAAGCCCCCTGGGCCGTCTTGTGGGCCTCTTGGGGGCCTCTTGGGCCGTTCTGGGGCCATCTTGCAGGCTTCTTGGGCGATCTTCGGGCGATCTTTAGGGACTCTTGGGCCGTATCGTGCCGTCGGAAGGCCGGATAGAAGCAAATCTCAGAATCCTTCAAAATTTTTGGGAACATTATTGATTTGGGTTTTCTCGGGCCTTCCTGGAGGCCCTCATGGAGGCCTCTTGGGCCATCTTGGGCAATCTTCGTGCCATCTTCGACCATCTTGGTGGGCTCCAGGCCCGTCTGACGCCGTCGGGAGCCGTCTGGGGGGCCTCTCTGAACCGAATTGGGGCCCTCTTGGGGCGCTTCGGGGCCGTCTTGGAGTCCATCTTGAGCGTCTTGGAGGTCTCTTGTGCCATCTGGGGGCCTTCTTGGGGCCGTCTTGGAGGCTTCTTGGACCGTCGTGGGGCCCTCTTGGAGCCCTCTTGGGGGCCTCTTGGGCGATCTTGGGGGCCTCTTGGGCCGTCTTGAGCCGTCGGAAGGCCGAGAAGAAGCGAATGCCAGAATCATTCAAAGGCCCAAGGAAAATCAATGATTTTGGCCTCTTCGGGCCCCCCTGGAGGACCTCTCGGAGGCCTCGTGGGCCGTCTTGGAGGCCTCTGGGTGGCCTCTTGGGCCGTCTTGGACTCTCTTGGGCCGTCTTGGAGGCCGTCAAGGACCATCTTGGGCGGACTTGGAGGCCGTCTTGGACCATCTCGGAGGCCATCTTGGGCCAACGTGGCCTTCTTGGAGGCCATCTTGGATCATCTTGGAGGGTGTTTTTCCGGATTGAGGTCCTTGGCAATCATTCCGGGTGGCCGACGGAACGCGCCGGAGCCCCAGCGGAAGTTCTTTTGGGAAAGAACAAAAATCAAAAACGATTGGATTTGGCACGCCAGGCACCCCTGTGGCACGCCAACAGGGGGGCGGCGGATCGAAGACGCCTACGGCGAATCATCGCCGCCCGCCGCCTTTCTGGAAGCGCCTATGTGGCCGAACGTTGAGGCCAGACCTGCGAAGCTATCGGACCATGTTTTCCCCGAATCGGTTTGGAAAGCCTTCGGGGAGCACGTGGTCATCTTGAAGGTCATCTTGGCGGTCGGGAGGCCATTTTGGCCCTTTCGGGCGTTCTTGGAGGACGTCTTGGAGGGCTCTTGTGTCGTCTTGGAGGCCATCTTGGGCGTCTTGGAGGCCTCTTGGGCCGTCTTGGGGGCCTCTTGCGGCGGTTTTGGGCCTCTTGGGCGATCTTTGGGGGCACTTGGGCCGTCTCGGGTCGTCGGAAGGGTGAACAAAAAGCAAGTGCCACAATCCTTCAACAACCGGAGGAAGATAATTGATTTTGGCCTTTTCGGGCCTTCTGAATGCCCTCATGGAGGCCTCTTGGGCCGTCTTGGGCCATCGTAGTGCCATCTTCGGCCGTCTTGGTGGGCTCTTGGCCCGTCTGACGCCGTCGGGAGCCGTTTGGGCTGGCTCTTTGGACCGACTTGGGGCCCTCCTGGAATGCTCCAGGGCCGTCTTGGAGGCCATCTTGGGCGTCTTAAAGGCCTCCTGGGCAGTCTTGGGGGCCTCTTGGGGCCGTCTTGGGGGCCCCCTGAGCCGTCATGGGGCCATCTTGGATTCCTCTTGGGTGAGCGATCTTCGGGCGATCTTTGGGTCTTTGGGGGCTCTTGGGCCGTATCTGGCCGTCGGAAGGACGAAAAGAAGCAAATCTCAAAATCCTTTAAAAAACCGTAGGACAAATTACTGTTTTGGGGCTTTTCTGGCCTTCCTGGAGGCCCTTTTGGAGGCCTCTTGGGCCAGCTTCGAGCCAATTTCGGCCATCTTGGTGGGCCCTGGCCAGTCGGACGCTGTCGGGAGCAGTCTTTGGGGCCTCTGAACCGGATTGGGGCCCTCTTGGGGCGCTTCGGGGCCGTCTTGGAGGCCATGTTGGGCGCCTTGGAGGCCTCTTGGCCCGTCTTGGGGCCCTCTTGGGGCAGTTTGGGGGGCCTCTTGGGCCGTCATGGGGCAATCTTGGAGGCCCTTGGGTGATGACGGGGCGATCTTGGGGGCCTCTTGGGCCGTCTTGAGCCGTCGGAAGGCTGAAAAGAAGCAAGTCCTAAAATCGTTCAAAAACCGTAGGAATATCACCGATTTTGGCATCTTGGAGGCCTCTCGGGTCGTCTTGGGCTGTCTTGGAGGCCTCTTGGGCGAACTTGGAGGTATCTTGGACTCTCTTGTGCCGTCTTGGAGGCCGTCTTGGACCAACTTGGAGGCCATCTTGGGCCAACGTGGCCTTCTTGGAGGCCATCTTGGATCATCTTGGAGGATTTGTTTCCGGATTGAGGTCCTTGGTAATCTTTCCGGGTGGCTGGCGGAACGCGCTGGAGCCCCAGCGGAGGTTCTTTTGGGAAAAGAACCAAAACCAAAAACGATATGGTTTGGCACGCCAGGCACCCCTGTGGCACGCCAACAGGGGGGGGCGGATCGACTGGCATTCGGCCCATCCCGCCACCGTGCTTGCGCTGTGGGTATGAAGCATATTGGATGGTCTGTGGGATTTCGTGGAAGGCTTCTTGGAGGCCTCTTGGAGGCAGCTTGGAGGCCTTTTGGGGGCCATTGGGGGGCCTTTTTTGGGCCTCTAGGGGGCCTCTTTGGGCATCTTGAGGACCTCTTGGGGGCCTCTTGGGGCCTTCTGGGCGCCTCTTGGAGCCTCATGGGGCCTCTTGGGGCGGAAGGCTCTGTTTTTCGCTTCGTGTTCTCCCTTTTGGGTCCCTTTTTGGCCCGTCATGGGGCTCTCTTGGAGGCCTCTTGGGCGGTTTTGGTTCGGAAAGCCGAAATGGCGAGAACGCCACCACTTTTCAAGAACCTACCGAAACTCAGTGACGTTTGCCTCTTTGTTGGGGCCTTCTGAGGCCACACTGAGGCCATCTCAGGCGCCTCGGGCCGATCTTTGGGCGTCTCGGGTCCCTCCTGGATTGTCTCGGGGGCCTCTGGGGGCTCTCTTGGCTCGTCTTGGTGCCCCCATCGGGGGCTCTCTTGGATTGTCTTGGGGGCCTCCAGGGGCTCTCTTGGATTGTCCTGGGGGCCTCAAAAAGGGGCTCTCTTGGCTCGTCCTGGGGCCCCCGTCGGGCCGGAAGCACTCCCGCTCCACCGCCTCCCAGGGCTCGGCGGGCACGCGGGAAGCCCCACGGGGCACGCGCCAAGCCCCGCCAAATTCAGGCAGTTGGGGTCCGGGGCCCCACAGAAAGACTCCTCGGGAGCGAGGATGGAGACTTCGAGGCTCAGTGTCAAGTGCGGCCTGTCCCTCTACAGGGGGAATATTCAAACATAGTCAAAAATAGTCAGGGGACTATTGTGGGAGTACTTCTTGACCATTTTGGAGCATGTTTGGCGTATTTTTTATTTTTCGTCGAAGGTCCCCCTGTAGGGGGACACGCCCGACTTAAGCTTAGTGGCGGATCTTTGGGTTTCCCCAGGTGCCGAGGGTGCTCCATCACGTCTTCCAGCAGCTTCGGTGCGACCGCTGGCGCGGCGCCTGCCCGACCGTCACCCTGAGCTACATGCAGATCTACCAGGCAGAGCCCCCTACGACCCGAGCCCGTGCGCTGCGATTCGCGGTGGGGGCCCGCGATTCCGATTCGGCTCGATGTGGCTCGATTCGCCCGCATCGGCCAGGGCCAGCCGGAGCGTGGCGCGGCAATCCGATTTCGATTCGATTCGGGACGGTAGTGGCGATCCGATTCGTTCCCGATCCTTGTGGGCGAACACATATCCGTATCCGCGGCCTCGCGGGCTGGGCCCCTGGGCCGCGAACCCACGGATGAGGGGCGTCTTATCGCGGAGGGTCCGCACGGAACGTACCCGTGCGACTGCGTATCCGCGGGATCGCGCCCCGCAACCTCAGCCGCGAGGGCGCGGATTTAGATGCCTTCGCCGCTCTTTGACTAAGCTGCCCTGTTGGTTCTCGGGCCATCACTCGGCTCTGCGGCGGGCACCCCCAAAACGCTCTCGGCGAGGCGAAGCTGCTGGAGAGCACCCCGAGGCTGGAAAGCCGCCGGGGGCCGACGGAACCGCCCGAAAACCTCGAAGCCCCAAAACCTCGGGCCTGTCCCTCTACAGGAGGAAGACTCAAAAATAGTTAAGAAATAGTCAGGGGATTATCGTTTGAGCATTTTTTGACCAAGTGGAGGTATTTTTTACTTTTTTTTCCGTCCAAAATTCGCCTGTAATTAGGGGGACACGCCCGACCTAAACCTCGGTGTGGTCGCCGCTCGTGAGATCGCCGACCCGGTGCCGCAATGCGGCCCAGCCGTGGCCTGCCAGGAGCAGTGCTACGACCTGCTGCGGCCCGCCGCCCGCGCCCGGCCGCTGCGCGTGCGGGAGGCGGGCGGGGCGCCGGCGGCCAGCGGCGTGCTCGTCGAGGGGCTGCGGGAGGAGGCCGTGGACACCGCGGAGGCTCCGGTGGCAAATCTCGCAGGCCTAGAGGTTGATACCAACACCAGCATCGGCGGCGTGCTTCCACCGAGGGAAAAACATCCCGATCTCGGTGATGGTGGTAATAATTCTGGCTTCCAACGTGGCCGAAATATTACCACCAGCACCGACATCTAGGATCAAGCTTCCCCTTGTGGAGGCGACCCCCTGTGTTGGTGTTCATGCCCATTTCCAGGCCCCCAAACATCGCGGGAGCCTTGCAGCTCAAGCAGTGGCGAGGCGTTCTGGCTGGCCTACAGGAACATTTCTGGCGGAGGCCGTCTTGCTTTCACACATCGGGTTTCTATATCATCAGAGCATGTGTGCTTGTTCTGGGAACACCTCTGGGTTCTACGAGCACGTCGTGGCAGGCCTTTAGGAATGCCAGGACGGTCTGTCCCTGCTCAAGTATATTCCGAGTTTCATGATTGAGGAGTGGGGGTCACGGCCCCCCCAGGCGAGGAATTGTAGAAGCACCCCCCCCCAGACCAGTTGTGAGAGGGCGGCCTTTGGCCCAGACCCCTCGGAAGCTACAAGACAGCAAGAGTCAGACCTCCCCCCCCAATCAGACACCCCCCCCATGATGACATTCGGAGTGCTCTCGCAATTCCGTCTTCAGAACGCGCTAGCGTCGATTAGCGGTTGGTAATAGATGGGAGAGCGTTGATGTGGCGTCGATCAGCGTCGATTCAGAGTCGATTGGGGTCGATGAGCCGCGGCTCGCAGGAGCCAGCAGGACGGTATGGGAGGCTCCTAATTATGAGTTGGCATATAAGCGGAGGCGTGCCTCGAGAGGCTGGCGTACGGCTTCTGCAACATCGCCTTCCGGGCGACGAACTACAACGAGCAGTCGTCGAGGCTCAGTATCGTTTAACCGATCCCTATCCCTATACCCATCCCCATCCTGAGCCCCACCATCCCACCACTCCAGTTGGGGATGTACCTCTCGAAACCCAAAGGAAACAGCCGATATCCCCCATCTAGTGGGGTAAATCAGCCAGTGGGAACCAGGCAGCGCCAGTTGGGATAGGGATCGGTTAAACGATTCTCAGAGGTCGCACTCCGTGCTCACGCTGACGATCCGCCAAGCCGGGGAGGCGGCGGGCACCTCGGTGCAGTCCAAGATCCGGCTCGTCGACCTGGCCGGCAACGAGAGGTGGGACACCTTCTTGGGCGTCGCGTAACGGGGGAGCGATAATCTTCAGTCGGGCCTGTCCCTCTACAGAAAGAATATTCAAGAATGGTCCAAAAATAGTCTGGGGACAATTTTGCTTGACTAGTTCTGACCATTTCTGAATTTGTTGATGAATATGTTCAAGTTTTCCTCCGAACATCCGCCTGTAGGAGGACGTGCCCAACATAACGATCATCTGGAGGGGCAGCGAGGGCTGCAGAAAAGAAGGCCCTTTGGGGCCCCTGAGTTCCGCCCTTCGAGGCCCAACAGGGAGCCTCTAGGGCCCGAGAAGTGCACCTTTCCTCCCCCCCCCCGGTGTATCGCCCCCACTTAAGCGAGCGACGCCCAACCTTCGGCTCCGACATCACCAAGCTGCACTCCCGCGAGCTCGCCTCCATCAACAAGTCGCTCCACGTGCTCGGTCTCTGCGTGCAGGCGCTGTCGCAGGCTCCCGCCGTGTCAAAGCGCGACGGCCACGTCGTGGCGCCTCATGTGCCCTACAGGGACTCAGCGCTCACCATGGTGCTCCGTGATAGCCTGTCCGGCAACAGCTTCACCACCTTGCTGTGCACCCTCTGCGGCAGCGCTCTGTACCAGGTGCAGTCGCTCTGCACACTGCGGTTCGCTGACAGGGCGAAGCGGATCAAGATGCACGCAAAGATTGCAGAGGAGGCCGATTGCCAGGGGCAGCGCGAGTCGGAGCTGGCTTACCTCCGGTCACTAGTGGCGAGCAAGTCCATGCAGGGCGCCACTGTGGAGCAGCAGAAGCAATTGGAGCAACAGCTCAGCGAGCTCGAACAGGCGAATGATGCGCTGATGGGTGAGAATAGGACCTCCTGAATCCGCGGCCGCCGTCGCTTCGGGAAATTCTTTCTCGGTTGTGATTGTTCATACCTTTGTCTCTTTCTTTCTTTCTTTCTTTCTTTCCCTCTCTCTCTCTTTCTCTCTGAGGTGACAGAAATATGGCGCACGGTGTTGCAGCATCTCGCCTGCATCACCACGGAAAATTCAGGCGTGGTTGGGCGACCCGGTCTCCGTGGCTGACGCTCAGAGGTCCGGAGCCATCTCGCCCGACATGCAAAGTCCCCTAGCAAGCCAGCTTGCCGGTGGCTTTGCAGTTGTACCCATTTCTTCGTGGCCAAAGGGAGTCGCCGCCGCTTGTTCACCTTGTGTGTGTGTGAATGTGTGTGTTGTGTGTGTTGTGTGTGTTGTGTGTGTTGTTGTTGTTGTTGTTGTTGTTGTTGTTGTTGTTGTTGTTGTTGTTGTTGTTGTTGTTGAACATTATTTCTTCTTAAGAATAATTATTGTTGGGACCCCTGGTGCGCGACCTCTGCGCCGCGCCTAGGCCGCAGCTACATTTTCATCATTTTTTCGCGAAAGCTTCAGAAAAGTGGATTGTGTCCGGATCCGGTTGTTTTGTTGTAATCCGTTTTCCCTTGCAAAAAACAATAGAAAATGAAAATTCTTGTTCTTACTTGATCAAATTGCAAGAATCCCTTGCAAAAAATAAGGTAAAGTGGACATTCGTGCGCGCAAGACGAAATCCTTCCAAAACCTTAGGTTTCGTAACGATTTTAACATAAAAACATCAAAAACCCAATGGTTTTTTAAGAAAAAATTGTCAAAATGTCCTTCCGCGCGCGCTGTCCGAATCCCACAAAACCAATGGTTTTTCAACATTTATGTTACATGAGCTCGCGCGAGCTACTTTTTCTTGTTCTAACATAATCAAATTTCAATAATCCCTTGCAAAAAATAAGGTAAAGTGGACATTCGCGCGCGCAAGACGAAATCCTTCCAGAACCTTAGGTTTCGTAACGATTTCAACATAAAAACATCAAAAACCCAATGGTTTTTCAAAAAAAAATGTCCAAATTTCATCCCGCGCGCGCTGTCCGACTCCCACAAAACCAATGGTTTTTCAACATTTATGTTACATGAGCTCGCGCGAGCTACTTTTTCTTGTTCTAACATAATCAAATTTCAATACTCCCTTGCAAAAAAAAGTAAAGTGGACATTCGCGCGCGCAAGACCAACAAAAAACACGACGATCTCAGGAACTTGCCCCAAAAATGTGACCAACTCCGCTCTCTCTGTCTCTCTCTCTGTCTGCTCTCTGTCTCTCTCTCTGTCTGTCTGTGTCATGTATTGTATGTCACAATTGCAGGATGCTGGGCACACGCGCGCCCCGAATAAGTGACCAAGTTCTGTGGGTGTGTACCCCACGCCAGTGTAGTAGCCACGGTCGTCCGCACGCCACGAAGTGAAGTGTCCCAACGTCATAGGGCGGGAAGCTGGGTTTGGGTGGTCGCGAAGAGTCGTTTGGATATTTGGTAGAGCTTGAACTGCCCCCCCACGAAGTGGGGGTATTGTCTCGCGTCGCATGAAAACCCTGGCACTGGTGAGAACACTGAGCGTTCGGGTAAAATGATTGTTGTTGTTGTTGTTGTTGTTGTTGTTGTTGAATATTATTATTTCTAAAGAATAATTATTGTTGGGCCCCCTGGTGCACGCCCCCCTCGCCGCGCCTAGGCCGCAGCCACATTTTCATCATTTTCGTGAGGAAGTCTCAGGCAAAACGATGTGTCCAGATCCGGTTGTTTTGTTGACGCCCGCTTTCCCTTGCAAAAAATAAGCTAAAGTGGACATTTCTTGTTCTAACATAACCAAACTTCAAGAATCCCTTGCAAAAAATAAGGTAAAGTGGACATTCGCGCGCGCAAGACGAAATCCTTCCAAAACCTTAGTTTTCGTAGCGATTTTAACATAAAAACATCAAAAAAACCAATGGTTTTTCAACAAAAAATTGTCAAAATTTCATCCCGCGCGCTCTTGCGGATTCGTAGGAAACCCAACACTTTTTAATTATTTCTGTCAAACGGGCTTTTGCGAGCAACTTTTTCGAACTTCTGCAACAACGGTTGCGCACCTGCCAGGGCCATCATCCCTGTCAAATAATACCATGCGGGACACATTCGTTTTTTCTTCGCGCGCGCACGCCGTCGTCGTCGGCCGCGGGGCCCTGAATAGTAGCCACGGTCGTCCGCATGCCACGAAGTGAAGTGTCCGAACGTCATAGGGCGGGAAGCTGGGTGTGGGTGGTGGCGAAGAGTCGTTTGGAAATTTGGTAGAGCTTGAACCGGCCCCCCCACAAAGTGGGGGTATTGCCCGCCTCCTATGAAAAACCTGGCACTGGTGAGAACGGTGTGTCCCCACATGCTAGTAATTGTTGTTGTTGTTGTTGTTGTTGTTGTTGGTGTTGGTGTTGTTGTTGTTGTTGTTGTTGCTGTTGTTGTTGGTGTTGTTATATCTGTATGTGTGTTTGTATTTGTTGTTGTTGACGTTGACGTTGACGTTGACATTGACGTTGTTGTTGACGTTGTTGGTGTTGTTGTTGTTGGTGGTGGTGTTGTTGTTGGTGGTGGTGTTTTTTGTTGTTGTTATTGTTATTGCTGCTGCTGTTGTTGATGTTGTTGGTGGTGTTGCTTTGTTGTTGATGTGTTTGTTGCTGCTGCTGCTGCTGTTGTTGTCGTTGAATATTAACGACTAAAGTATCATTGTTGGCGCTCTGGCGCTCTCGCCGAGGCGCCGTCTACATTTTCATTGAACATGAGGCTCACGCTCGAGCGGTTTGGGGGACCGTCAAAACCTGCCCCCCAACAAGAACAACGCTCCCGCTCGAGACTTCCTCCTTTTTCTGCTCAAGGCTGGTGTTCTTGCTCGCCGCCGAAAGCCGCCGTTTTACAAAACCAGCGCTCCCGCACGAGCCTTTCGTTTTACCTTGGACTGGCGCGCTAGACTTTCTCTCATCGGCGCCGCCCCCAGCGAAAACTCCTTATTTTTTTACTCCAGGCGGTGCTCCTCCTGGCCACCGAAAACTGCCGCCCGACAAAACTAGCGCTCCCGACCGAGACTTCCTTCCGTTTTACGCTGGGCTGGCGCCCAACTCTTTTTTGAATTGGCGCCGCTCCCAGCAAGAACAACGCTCCCGCTCGAGATTTCCTTTCTTTTTCCTCGGGACGGTGCTGGTCCTCTCCGCCGACAGTCCCCGTCCCGACAAAAACACGGCTCCCGCTCGATGCCCCCTCCTTTCATACTCAAGGCGGTGTTCATCCTCGCCCCCGAAAGCCGCCATCCCAACACATCCAGCGTTCCCGCTCGAGACTTCGTTTTATTTTACGCTGGATTAGCGCCCTACTCTCTCCAGCAATTGCGCCGCCCCAACAACAGCAACAGCAGCCCTGCTCGAGACTTCCTCCCTTTCTATTCAGTGGCAGGTCCTTGCCTCACCCCCTTCAGCCCCCATCCCCACCAATGCAATCCTGTCGTTCGGTACTCCCTTGTGCTTTACCCTTCGCTGGGGTTCCACTGGCGGTCTCGCATCGGCGCAGCAAGGCGCGGGCATGTGTTTCCGAGGCGGGATGTGTAGACATTCCTCGGAGGAGGTGTTTGCAAGACCTCATTTGGTGGTATATCTGGGAATGGGAATATCGGACCCCGCTATAGAACAATAGTCCCCCATTAAGTAGATGGTTCTCATGATGGTCGCATGCTCCGTGTGGATACATCGCGCATGCGGGTAACACAATTGTTGATGTTGTTGTTGTTGATGATGTCGTTGTTGTTGTTATGGTTGTTGTTGTAATTGATGTTGTGGTTGTTGTTGAGGTTGTTGGTGCTATTGTTGTTTTTGTTGTTGTTGTTGTTGTTGCTGTTGTTGTTGTTGTTGTTGTAATGGTTGTTGGTGTCGGTTGTTGTTGTTGCCGTTGCCGTTGAGGTTGTTGTTGTTGTTGTCGTCGTTGCTGTTGTTGTGGTTGTGGTTGTTGATGTTGCTGCTGCTGTTGTTGTCGTTGTTGCTGTTGTTCGGTAAGGCGTTGACACGGGTCCCGGCTTGTTGTTGGTATCTTTTTCTTCTCTCAAAACTCAAGTGTTTATCTTTCCGGGTAAGCGAAGCTCCAGCAACCGAGGGCTTTCCTCACGGCACTGGGGCGGCAGCGCAAGGTGCCCCACGGGGCCGGAGAAGGGGTCGGCATTCCTGGTCCTGGCGCGTTTCCAATGGTTTCCCGAGGATGCCCGCGAATCCCTCAGGATTCCTTTGGGTTTCTGAGGACTCCTCCGGACTCACTGGGGCCCCCAAGGTCTCCTCAGGACCCCCCAGAATTCCTCGGGATTCCTCAGGGGCCATTCCGCGGGACTCCCGAGGATTCCTTAGCATTTTCCAGGATTCCTCAGGGTCCTTCCGAAGTCTCCAGGATTCCTTAGGATCCCCCAGGAATCCTTTGGATCCCAAATGATTCTTCAGGATCCCCCCATGGGGTTCTCAGGATCCCGTTGGGTTCCTCCGGATTCTTCAGGATATCTTCGATTTGTTCAGGATACCCAAGGCCTTTTCAGGACACTTCAGGATCCCTCAGGACCCACCATGTCTCCTCAGGAAAAGGGGGAGGAGGAGGGGGAAGGGGAGTGGGATGGGGGGAGAGAGGGGGAGGAGGAGGAACAAGATGGGGAGGAGGAGGAAGATGATGATTACGATGATGATGATGAGGAGGAGGAGGAGGAGGAGGAGGAGAAGGAAGGGGGTAGGAGGCGGAGCAGGAGGAGGAGCAAGAGGAGGAACGGGGAGAAGGAGGAAAAGGGGGAAGGAGGGAGGGAACGGGCCGGGGGCAGGGGAATGTGGGGGGGGGGGGAGGGAAGGAGGGGATGAGGGAGGAGGACAAGGGGGAGGAGGAGGAGGAGGAGGAGGAGGAGGAGGAGCAGGAGGTGGAGGAGGAACACGAGGAGGAAGACGCGGAGGGGGAAGAGAAGGAGGAGGCGGGGGAGGAGGAGAAGGGAAGATGAGGAGGAGGTGGGGGAGGAGGAGAGGGAGGAAGAGGAGGAGGAGGAGGAGGAGGAGGAGGAGGAGGCGGAGGAGGAGGAGGAGAAGGAGGAGAAGGAGGCGGGAGGAGGAGGAGGGAGGAGGAGGAGGAGGACGAGGACGAGGAGGAGGGGGCGGAGGCGGTGGCGGCGGCGGAGGAGGAGGAGGCGGAGGAGGAGGACGAGGGCGACGACGAGTAAGCAGGACTCACCCGATGCATGTTTCAATGTGTGGTTCAAACCGTTTTTCGGTGGTGCTTCGTTTTTTCGAAATCGAATGGATGGAC